CAGGAAATCAAGCGGTGCAAGAAGCAGGTTTGCCGTTGGGCCCCGGGCTCCCAGGGGCTTGGGGCCGGGGCCTCCAGGGTCTTGGGGGCCCGGGCCTCCAGGGGCTTGCCCGAACCACCACTTTTTTTCGTCGTTCTGAAAAAAAGTCTCCTGGTGGGAGGCAGGCGAAGTGCCACAGAGGTGGGGGCCCCCTTCCCCCCCCCTCCCCCCCGCGTTTCTAGGCTGTAAGGGAGAAAAGAAGAGGGTTTTCACCCTCTCCGTTACTGAAACCATGTCGGCGGATATAGGGGGAATTTGGGGGGACCTGAAACGGAAAGAGAAACCCCCATCCTAGCAGCCAGCCCCGTGCTTTGACCTCATTGGTTGATTTTTGGGTGTCCCAACAGGCACGTGCTGGAGTCAAATCAAGAGTCCCGCGTCCTTGGCGGTCTTGTGCTGTCGCGAGGCTGCACAGCCTAGCAGCCAGGAGGAGGCTGGGGGCGCCCATTTAGGTCAAATTATTTGCTATAGTTTTTGTTCCTGTTTTTACAAATCTCCGTATGTTCCTCGTGGCGCTCATAGATTCATAATGCACAAAATACCGCTTGCAAGCTATGCGAAACTCAACTTCTGCATGCTTTCTGTGACAACAAGTTTGCAAAGGACACGCTTCTCTACACGGAGCCTAGCCTTGACCGAACTCTGCTGGCTCCCAAGTCTGAGCTGGAGGAGTGCTGAAGCTCCATTTTGTTCACATGCTTATGAGACTGAGCTCGCATTGTCGACCGCACTTCTCGTAGCGGCAGCATTCGGCTGCTCAGGTCTCCCATCACTGCCCGAGAGGCAGATGGCTCGCTCTCACCTCGGTGCTTACAAGCCAACAGCAGTTGGCAGGATAATTACAGGACATGTCATGGGTAGAAGCCGCATGTTGAGCGAAGGTTTCTCCCGTCTTCAAATGAAGTCCTTCGCGAGCATGCAGGTGGTTGCGCAGGTGATTCTCCCTCTGATACCTGAGTTCTTCTGCAAAGCCCGAGTCTTCTTGTCCTTCCTGGATCTGTCATCGACTCAAATGTTGTCTCCCCTGCAGGAAGACCGCAGGTTCAGTGTGAACCCTGGACCTAGAACATAACTCGCTCTTCGAGTGACAAAGTGCTGCTGCCAATATAATCTTGCTCGCCGTCGCCTCGTCCTTTTTAAGCTGTGATTGTTGGTGTAACGGTGTAACGCTTCCCTCCGCTTGTCGTACACGTAATCTGTGTCTCTTCCTGGCTTCTTCTGAGGCTCTGCCTCCTAACTTGTGAGCTGTATGTCGTGGCTCCTTCACGTCATGCTTCGACCGGTCCCCTTGAAGCCCGTCTTGTAGTCATGTGCCCTCGTGATCCGAGTGAGCCTTCCGTTTGCTGCAAGGATCATGCTATCTTGATTTACGGGCCCTGCGGCTATTAGTTTGCGTGTGTGGTCCTGACAATCGCTCCTGGCACTTGCTTTCGGAGTTGTATTGGCAGATATCGCATGTCGGCCTCACCCTTCTGAAGTGAACCTAGGCAAGCCAAACTCGAAGCCCGCTGGAAATGAGAGCATGGAAGCTGTCTGACTGCTTAAGGCAAGACCTGGCCGCGAGCCCGCTCAGTCAGGCAAGCGGGCGCGCAGTACTGCCAAACGACGGTTGCACTGCTACTGCTGCTCCTGTACTGATGCACTGCTTGATGTTTGCAGGGCAGCTTCCCTTCGTCGGCCATCTTGGGGCAGCAACCTTGAATGCACAGTTGTGGTTCCCTGCTGCGTGTCCCGAAAGCTTGATGGTGCCATCCCTGAGGTCAGAGTGCTCGCCGTTGACACGGAGCATCAAGATGCTCCCGCCGGCCCATCCTCCGGCGCGGATGACAGTTCCGGATGCAAGGTCTCCAATGAAACTCTTCCCTGAAGCATGTCTTCAGGTTCCGCCCCTTCCTGGCAAGTGATGCCTGCCATGAATCTTGACATGTTAGAGTTTTAGAGTCCTGCAGTCTGCCGAGCAGCAGAGCCAACAGACTCATGATTGCGAATGGTGCCCCAGAACAGTTGACAGCTATGTTCAGCATGCTGTAGGAGTCACCTGGCTGTCAGCCTCACTGACTTCCATCACTCCTCCCTTCCCAAAAGCCCACAAGCGGTCGAGGGCGGATGATGAGAGCCAAGCTTGCTTGGTAAAAGAGCGCTGGGTGCAGAGGACTTGCGAGATGGTCGAGCGATTCTGAATTGGACGCTCTCTTGATCTAGGGCTAGACGCGCTGCAGCCCTAAAGCTGCAGCCCTAATCCTTAGAAGCAAAGCCCTGCTTGCCCTATCAGGGAGATGTATTGTCATGCAGATAGCTTGCATGTATGCAGTCTTCTAGTAGTCTATCCTGCTGCTACGGCGGCTACGTCTCCGAACAGAGTACTGTTCCGGTGTATTTGGGACACTATTTGTGTCATGGAAGTCATTCTTGGTGGACAAGCCGTGTACCTTTGCGCCCAGGGCCGATCCATGGGCGATGGCTGCGGAGGCAGCACGAGCAGCCGACCACCTGCCGGAGTCCAAGGTTGACCACCAGTGACTACCCCTTGATGTGGCACTCGTTTTAAATTCTAGACCACCTCCAAACAATAGGGGGTTCGGACAAATAGAAAATTACGCGTCCTCAAGAACGGCCTCGGCACCTCCTGTGATTCTGCGGGTTCTGGGGATTGATTTAGGAAGGGATGGTCTTGGTCTAGGTCTAGAATTCTTAAGGTTCGAATAAGGTTTTTTTAATGCCAGTAATGGGCTTCAGGTTCAAGATTTGGCAAGTATTTGGATTCTGGATATCTCTGAGGGCTGAGCTGGGAATAGCTCGGAGAAAGTTTAAAAGGGCTGCCCTTCAAATCCTTTTCTTGGGGCGCGAACAATTCTTTTTTGGGCCCCAGAGCCAAAAAATATTCAGAGTCTTCCCACCAGTGGCCTGAAATTGAGCGGCGGCCCAAGCACCACTAAAGTCAGTGCAACATCACCTTGATCCCAAGACCAGGAGATCACACAACATCTCCCGAGATTGGCGCGTCCATTAGATAGAAATCGATAAAATGCAGAACAGCACGGAGACAGGGCCACTTCTCAAGTTCGTTTCAGTTTCAACCTTGAACTCCGGCTGCATTGATATACCGGAAGAAGCATCTGTAACTCTGAGGATCCCCCGCCCATGATTGTTCGTGTCTCAGTGCTTTAGAGGGCATCGTCTTGACAGAAGCGGAAGCGAGTGAAGCGCAAGGCGTGGACGCAGAATTCCAACCCAGAGGTACGACCTGGAAGCTTGAAGAATGCCAAATCTTGTATGTGCCTGCAAGACAAGCTCAGTGCTTTAAGTTGCATGTAGCCAGGTTGACGACTTTGTCAGGTGTTAGCCTCAGCTAGTCTGCAGATTCTGCAGATGTTGTTCATTGGCTCCCTCCAAACATGCCGGCAGTGACGTTTGTCGCCCCAGAGATGCGTCATGGGTGACAGGAGGCACAACCTTTGTGCAAAAGCAGAGGGCGAGCTGAGGCCAGAGTAGAGCTCTCTCTACTCGACTGTGAGCAGAATAAGTTCTGCTCTGCTTATGTTTCCGAATGCTGTAACACGTGCTCCAGGGAGCTGCCGCTGGCAGATCAGCTGGCCATGATCCGCAAGCCTTATAAGTGCCCTTCTCGGTGGCTTTGTTCTTTCTTCCATCATTCCATCATGCCGTTCCGCTTCGAAATGCTTGTCAACATTTGTCATCCGCTCAGGGACATTCGCTCCATGGACGCAGTTGTCATCTCGCAGAGCAGGCCCTGCCTCTGCTAGCAGACATGCTAAAGGGTATTACGCTTGCCACGAGTGAGTGAACGCCCGGGATCCTACTCATCGCCACTTTCTGCTAGCATGCGCTGCGAGACGTGAGCTTTGCTACCATCTGCATCGGCGTCGAGCTTTCAAGTGTTAGGAGGGTAGTAGCGACTCGCATCAACATGTGAGTGTCAGCCACTCACTCAAGACTTTGCAGCTTGTCAACCGCACGAGCGAGGCAGGCAAAGGTTAAGCCCATGCAAAGGAGGACAACTAATTCTCCCTTCTCGATGCCCTGAGGGGCGCCGAGCTGACTCGGAGCCAAGAACTGATGGTCAGGTAGAACAGCTATCAAGAGACCAATAGTGTACAAAACCTGCACCTGCGAGCTCCTAGTCATGGCACGTCTTCCGCTTTCAAAGCTTTCGTTGCGGCTACGGCGAGCCTTCGAGCGCAGCATCCTCAAAAGTTGTAAACTCCTACCTGACAGCAGGAGCATGTTTCATGTTTTTTGATCGACGTTGCTGTTACCTGCGACTGTGTTTGGGGGATTTCAGATTCCAAAGCATGGAAGCAACGGCCAGACTACATTGCATTGAGGCGAGCACCCCAAAGTTCAACTCGATTGCAGCGTCGCTAACTACTTGGCAGCCATGCTCAGGGCTCAGACCGCCTGGCTGGGAAATTGGCTGGAAGCAGCTTTGCTGAACCTGCTGGAAGGCTGGAAGATGACGAGGAGTGTGACGAGGACAACATCGTCGAGGCCAGACTTTGGCATGGCCCGGGCTGGGGGCTTGTGTTGTTGCAGGGCTGCCTCCCTTCTCGCAGTAACTACTGCTGTTACTGCCATGACTTTCTGCCTGCAAGCTCTTTTACAGTATTGTTCTTCCGGTCTCTGCAACTTGACTGTTGGAAGTGTTGGGGTGCAGGCGTCTTTTGGTGAAGAGACTTTTCTTTTTGTTTTTTCACGTTGACCTCTGCTCAAGTTGGTTATCCGCCATAATGGAGGTGTGGTCTGCATACCTTGCTGATCTTCTGGAACCGGAGGGAGCTTGCAAGGACTGCCAACCTTTACCAGTTGGAAGCCATGTGCGCTGCATGCAGCAGACCGAAAGTCATGTCATTGCCATGATTCGCAGCCGACACTTTGGGGTTGTGATAGCCTAGCGAAGACGTGTCATCATGTGAGCTATAGTCTAAACTCCTTAAAGGGGTCATATTAGGGATTACTGAGGAGAACATTATTGGGAGTACTAAGGGGGATACTAGGAGTTTAGACGAAAGCTCATGTGGCTCAGTCAGCCGTTTGCCCCCAGTATTCTGTTGCAGAGAGGAGTTGTGCCTCTCGGTTTTCAAGCACTTGAAGGCACTCTTCAGTTTGAGCTTGAATGCTTAGGCTTGAAACGACATCCCACCTTTGCGTATTGTGACGCTACAGGGCTGTGAGGCCGTCGCTCTGAGCGACATTTGTCCGGGCCCCAACTTGTGGGCAACACAAGAAGCTGGAGGTAAGACGTCTGCTGAGGCAGTACCACTACCTCGCCGCAGCTTTCACGAGCAGGCAGCGTGTTGTTCCACAGGGTGCAAAGCTGTCAAGGCTTGCTGTCAAGAGCTGCCTTCACTGCTGCAGCTCTCGAAGCAGGCTCCTTGAACCAGACGGTCCCCACACCTGCTGTGCTGGACATGTCAATCTCGCCGAGCCAGCCCTATGATGCCACCGAGGAGCCATGCTTCCTAATCCTTGTGGATTGTTTGTTAGATCGACAACATGCCATATGCACTTCCGTGGAAAGCTTCCATCAAGCTGGTGTCCGCTAGATGTTGCATGTTTGTTTGCCACCAGTTCTGTTTGCTGGATGCCCTGGCTGTCTCAAGACTCGTGCCGCACTCTGCATGGGGAAGCAGTTTTCACCCCGAACTCTGAGACTATGAAGCCTCTTCCAAGCTAACCTTTTTGTGTTTCGACGCAGCAGTTTTCTGATGGCCGAGCCGGATGGGCCAGATGAGTCTGAGCCGCCTTCGCCGGTATCACCAGACCGTGATCCCCTGTTGGATGTGCTGCGGACCAAGCCAGCGCGCAGCGGGCGCACTGGGCAGCGACCCTTCGGTTCTCTGGGCGACCAGATTGAGGCCAGGGTCTTCAACGCAGTCTCACAGAGAGCGCTGATGCAGAGAGCGTCGCGCAGCGCCAGGTGGAGAAGTACGACGAGCAGCTGGCTGCGAAGGTGGCGGACCTGAAGGCAACGGACCGAGCGGTTTCTGCCGCAAGTGGGATCCTCACTGCAGATCCAATCTTGAGGAGCTCTTCAAAGGAACTATCTCGCGAGATGTGCTGGACAGGGTGTATGTTAGCTGGAGATAGCTGGAGCACAAGCATTCTAGCTCATTCTTGCCTCCCACGCCTGAAGGACAAGACGCGCGTCTTCCCTTCACCAGCTAGAGAGTTCCGGCACCGAGCGGGGCCACTTGCCGTCCGACGACCCTGCGCCGAGAGGCAATACTCTGGGCTTCACAAATTTTCATGACTCTGAGGCTGCTCACTTGGATTGACTGTTTGTCTCCGGGCCTGTAATCCTGAAATCACCGAAGCCCAGATAGACTGGTATCTTAAACAAGGACCTAGCCTTGCCAGGCAGTCCGAGGGCATCTCCCTTGAGCTCAGCATGTGGGACCCGGTGGCCAAAGAGCATAGCCTCATCCATCCCACAGAGGCGGGGAAGAGACATGAAGAGACACGCTAGGTGGACCGCAAAGATCTGAGCCTGAAGGTGCCGATTTTTTCACGGCCGATCTCCGTGGCAATGGAGGCCCAGCGCTGCTATGAAGCTTCACTGTCTTCCCCCATGCTCATGCCTTCAGAGAATCTGCAGGCCATCTTAGCAGACGGAACTCCAAAGCCTTCTTTACCAGCTGACTACCGATGCACCGTGAGGTTCTGAGAACATTGCCCATCCGAGTGGACCCCGAATTGGGGGCACCTTGGACTCAGTCAGGTTTTCTTGCTTTCCTCCACTGCTTCCCGCATCCGCGTGGAGCGTACGTGGCATTGTGAGTTTAGACGCCTGCTAAGGAGGGAGGCGATGAGCAGGAGTGGACTTGCTTAGACCTCGCTGACGCTTCCAAGCCTACGGCCTGGGGAAGAGTCATCGGGCATGGCTTGCGCTCTGCACAATTCCACTCCACGCTCTCCAACGAACTCATGGTGTGCCTCAGCCTCTTTAGCTTGACTGCTATCCGGGCTATCTAGTTGGCATGGATGTCTGCTGGAGCACAGCTCTCAAGCCCTTGTTCTACTTGTACGGGAACATAAAGAAGATTCAGCTATCCACTTAAGTCCAGCACAGGTGCCTCGCTTACCACGATGCACGCCTGCAAAATCTCAAGCGCGGGCAGCCTCTGCCAGAGGAGGTCCCACCAGCACCCGGCCCCTACCCTCCAAAAGCTGTCTCTGCAAGGATGATGCAGCCTTCGAGAACTCCACGCAGGGCAAGAGGCCCGGGGGTGCTCTGCTTGTAGCAGCCGCGCTGGATATCCTGAGCAAAAGAGCTTTTCCTGTATACGCAGGTGGATGGCGGCCGCGCGGGAGCTGAGGAGCTTCCTGTTCCTTGGCAGCTCAGGTGTCGGGCGCAGCTGCTCACCTTTCTGCTTTGAGGTTGCAGGCGATGGAAGCTGCGGGAGTCCAAGGACCTGGCTGTTTCAAGAAGCATCGATTTGCGTGTGTTGACTGCAGCGGACTCAGTGGACTGTTGCTGGCGTCTTAAAGGAGCCAAAGTCGACGTTGTCGGGCGCTGGAAGCGAAGGCGTTTGGCAGTGGAGCGAGACTTTGTGCAGGACGGGGCATTACCTCGGCCTCTGAGTGTCCTCTCAGCCTTTTGGCCAGCCAGGAAGCATTCAAGCTAGAGGATGGCCGGACGCTGGTGTACAAGCAGCCAGAGGTGAGGCAGTCCTGTTCAGAAGTGTCCACCGGTGCACTGCACATGGGGCCAATTGGGTGCCTGTGACAATCAATGAAGGTCAAGGGCAGGTCTGCTTCCTGGTAGGGTCATGCATCCATTCTACACAACTTACCATGGAACTCGAGCCCAGTTGCCTGCCAGGGTCAATTTTCGAATCCGCATCTTGGCGGGTGAGTTCATGATGTAGAGTGGTGCCAGGAAGAATGGTCGGAGTATGGTGTCCATGGCCAGACTTCTCGTTCGTGCTAGCCTCGAGCCCCAACGCGGGAACAGAAAGCCTGTAGATGCAGCTAAGGAACTTGCCCTGCGAGGTGCAGATGCTCAGGGGTACTTTGCAATACATGATTCTGTGCGTCTTGCGCTGAAGCCAGTTCCTGTCCCTCACATGTTACGGTCCTAAGCTTCTTTCCGATCAACCTGCTGATGCAGGTGAACTGCCTGAACTGGCTATGCCTGCAGGCCAAAGAAGCAAGGAAGGATGCATCGGCATCCCGTGGCAGGACCTGCTTGAATCGAAGAACGCCTTGGCTGCCTGCATCCAAACAACCCTTCAGGAGAGCTGGGTCGCAGTTGCTGGAACTCCACTGTGGAGGTGCCCAAGATCCCAAGTCTCGAGTGAGCGTCCCCGTGATCTGATTTCAGGTGGCAACAACACCGTGGCGCTGGCGCCCTACTTTGAGTCTGTCCAGGCCGTGGAGATCAACCGCACCTTGGCACAAGCCGCCGAGGACTCATGGAGTGATTCACACAGCGTTGCTTGCCAGGTCTGTTATAGGTCTGTTTGGAAGCTAGGCCTAGGCTCCCAAGCTAAACGAGAAGCTTGCTCGTTGCTTCAGTTTCCCTGCGATGTGAGCGCCTGCTTGCCAGGACAACCTGAAATCCAACAGCATTACGTGCCTTTCATGCAGCTGGAGTAGTATATTCTGGGTGTCGCATGCACAACACCGCGAGCTCTTTGGATTTTGTTGAGTAGCTCAGCTCCATGTGCACGTTGGCTGTACCGCGGCAGCTAGCATGTGCGCCCTTTGAGGAACACCACAATCAAGCGGGCCGCGAGTGACAAGATAGATGCATCGATCACGGCTGGTTGTGATGTGATCTTAGTTGACCCTCCACGCGCAGGCCAGGAGTTTCAACCAAGTTGTTGTTTGTCTGCGATGGTTTTCGTGCGATCTTGAACGGATTCCTCTGTCAACTTGGTAGCAGCTGCCCTTGCGGCGAAGCTTTAGCATCATTCCTATGGCACAGCTGTTGCTAGACTGTGTTTACTTTGACTAAGATCCTCAGATTCCCATCCTGCAGGCCTGGATGCTGGTACCCGTCAGTCAGTTACGCAGTTCGACCAGCTTCCTGACTGAGCTCAGAACCTTTTCCCTGTGACCCCTTGACACGTTGTCTTACATGAAGGTTTTCGACATCTGTTTTTGCATTAGATCATCATGATGTTTAGCGCCGCCAGTTGGTCAGTTGCCTTGTCCCAGGATCCTGTACATTTCTTGCAACCCACTGGCTCTCAAGGGTGACATCAACCACCTGGGCGAAGGCCTGGCCTGCTGTCTCTTGGGTTAGGAGTTTTGAGTTTGCAGTGCAGAGAAGTAGACGGCTCCTTGCGTTTCTACACGTTTGAGCATGTGCCCTCTGATTTTCCACGGGTGACAGGCTTTGAGGTGGTTGCCCTTGCAATCTTCGACATGTTCCCCTACACCACCCATGCTGCAGCTCGGAATCATCCTGGTGCTGTGCGCGCATCTCTGGTGAGTCTGCGGAGTTCCTCTGAGGAATGCGCAGTCCGTATTCGTCGCAGGCGGAAGGCAGCGAGTCTGGGCTTGGCATGGCACTGCTCAATCGCGCGCACTACCGTTAGTAATGTATGCGGGCTCCGAAACCAAGACACGAAGACTAGCTAGAAAAGGGTTGGCCAGCCTCGAGAGTAGTTCCGTCAGGACGGTGTGGTGTGTAAGGGAAATCGCTGTTTACATCGTGGGTCAGTCGCAAGCCATGTCATCCACGTTGCAAGACCGCCATGACTTTTGCTCCTCAGGCGCAGGTGCCGCGCTCTCCGGGGCGCAGAAAGCCCTTGCTCTTCCTGCTGCTTGTCATAGGTGCAATACACACGATTAAGTGTAAGGTCACACGTCAACAACAATCCCTGGCAGCTTGCAGGTGCTGTCGTTATGTTTTTGCGGCGCGGCGGCCGCCTTCGGTGCTTGGCAGCTTGAGGGTCCACCCACAGCTGCCCGCGCCGTGGTGGAACACCGTTTTTGTATATAGGAACAGCTGGAGCAGAAGCTAAGCCCCTTACCAGTGTTTTAAGTAATCAAGCAGTACCGTCCCTGACCTAGCGAACAGCTTCGGCTCTTGGCTACAGCCCTCAGCCACGTTTCCCCTGCGCCGTGCTGCGCCAATTCATTGATGTTTGGAGAACTCTCCGGGGCACATGTCGGCATGCTGCAGGTTTAGGCTGAGGCTGACGATCTTCACGCCGCAAAAAACAAAAGAATAGTAAGCACAGAAATAGAGACCACACACCGGTGCTTGAATCCTTGGCCCAGGAGGTGGAAGGGCTAGCTGATTGGCTTGAGAAACTCAGCCGGAGCCCTGGTGGAAGGGATGCGCCCCTGCACTAGCTTCCCTCCTGTTCAGATTCCGCTTCACCGCTGTGAGGCTTGTCCCACTACACGGAAGCTGCCAGGGAGTGGTGTTCCGGTATGGGCCGCCATCTTAGAGATCAGACAAGGACATTTGTTTTGACGCTTCGTTAGGAGCTTCCTGCTTCTGACGCAAACTCCCCACTACACGTTTGACCCCGGATTCCACCACTCAAAGTAGAAGCCCTGGACGTCAGGTACATGTACTGTGCATGATGTTACATTGGTCTCAACGTCGAAAGTGTTTTTTGTAGCCCAGAAGACCATGGGCAAGTCCAGGATCTCCAGAATATCTCGGTACCCACATGCGGCAAAGTTCCGGCCAGCTTGCAGGTGATTGTGAGCAACAGTGTAGCAGGAATGCATTGGCTGTGGTTTATGAAATGATTGTAGTGGCTTGGCTTGGCCCCTTGGCATGGACCTGGACAGCCCGTAGCATTCGAGAGACACGTCGGAGCCAATCCAAGACAGTTTCTATTTGGCTCACATGCTGATCTGCTACGCCGGGCATGTGCAGGGCCGGGACAGACCCTGCTACAGAGACAGCAGAAGAAGGGTGCACGCCTTCTGTAGCTCGAAGTTGATTGGCTTTGCAAAGTGGATTCCTCATTGAGGCTAAACCAGAATGGTGATAATGATTAGCACGTGTCTCCTGGACGTTTGGGTTCTGATTCATTCTTGAATTGCTGTTTTCGCAGCTGCGAAGCCAGGAAATATCCCACACTGTCGCAGTTTGCTCCACATTCGGGTCTCCCAAGCTTCCGCTTACTAGCGCTAGACCCTGGCCACACACAATCTGAAGACCAATGCCGCAGGCGAACCCTTACATGATAAAGTTCTGAGGCGCTGCAACTGTTGAAGAGATTGAGGAAGTCTGGGAGGAGTTCAGTGAAGCGCCAGGGGCTTTGCAACCTGTGGGTACGAACTCACCAACTTGCTTACGCATTTTTGCGGGCAAGGCTGAACCTCAAGAAACTCGAGCACAGACGGCTGAAGCTTTTATTTGGGCCGCTGAGTGAAGCAGTGACGCCAGGGTCCCAACCTGCCTCTTTTGGCTTTGCTGTGCTTTCACTGTATCCATCGTGTCTGCACCCGTCGTCAAGCAAGGGCAGTGCTGACGCTTCCTCGCTTTGACAGTGCCTTTCAGGCCACAGGCGAGAGAGAACGTAGATGAAGAGGAGGACTTGAGCTGGATGTCTTGTACGGTAGAGTATTTCTTTGTGATATCACGGGCTGCTCATGATTTCTGGTTGGGAGGCTTGAAGCAAGGATATCGCAGCTGACACTTCTGTGCAAACATAGGGTGCCGGCTGGGTCAGCCTCGCCATTGCAGCTTCTATTCCTAGCAGGTAACTGTGGGCCATAGACTCTACTTTGAGGAGTTGATGAGAAGCATTGAAAGGGTAGATTGACAGGAAGCAGAGGAGTCCTCACACCGCTGGGCTGGGGCCTGAGCCGATTCAGTCTCCTTCTGGCATTTCATGCGTTGCAGCTCTAAAGTTCACTATGATTCGCTCGACTGCACAATGAATTACATTCCAGCTTCACACGAGCAAGAGGGATTTAGGGCCTGCAAGGTCTTACCCGTACTTGCAGTACACGTCTAAGTTGCATCTAGGCTCCTTTGCTAGTGCCTGGCCTCTTGCCGTGGCCTTAAGGCACCGGGGGATCTCTCGATGCCAGAGGCCAGGGGACTGGGGAGCGAGGTTTGATATGCCTTGTGTGCTTCATGGCACTGGCCTGACAAGCAATGGCCCGAACACTTAGCGCAATGAAATGGCGGAGGATGTTTGCTGACTGAGCTGTGCGTGCACTTGTTTAGGTTGTGCAAGCTTTCGCTTTGCTTGAAGTCAGTAGTGTAGCCGTTGCCTCTGACGTTGACTGGAATGGCAGTCACTACAGATCTTTCAGGGGCATGGTGAACTTTAAATTTCCGCGGGTGCAGCGACATTGAAAGCCACATTTGCCAAGCCGGAGGCGGATTGTGGCTTCTTCATGTCAATTGCCTCAGCTGCTCAGTGACTGTGTGGCCTTGTATGCATTCGACCCCTAAGGGCCGCTGGTCAACTGATACTACAACGTCTCCCTGTAATTGTAATTCCTTGAGAGGGATTGCTTCAGACCAGTATGCGAGACATCCCTTGAATTTGTTCCATTGGCAGGCAGTTTCCTGGGTGCAGCTTGAAGTTTGAGAGCGGGTTGAAGTTGCAACGCTGAGGGTTCCTTCGCGAAAACGGTCTTCGGGAGTTTGATGCCGCAAGGGCCTAAACCCTGAACCCTGCTCTCGAAGCCTGTGGACACCGGGGCTGTTTACTCCGGTGTCACTCGCGGCAAATCACTAGGAAACTGCCTACATGGCCATCCAACAGTATCATCCATCCATCCATCCCTCCCTCCCTCCATCCCTCCCTCCCTCCCTCCCTCCATCCATCCATCCATCCATCCATCCATCCATCCATCCATCCATCCATCCACATCACTGAGTCATCGCCGTAACCTTGACCATCATAGCAGTACCAGCCGCAGTAGAACTAGATACTGGCAACAATAGCAAAGCATTGGCAGCAGCAATATCAGGAGCAGGAGCATCTTCATCAGCAACAGCAGCAGGCAGGGGCAGGCAGGGGCAACACTGGCGGAAGCAGCACTAGCAGCAGTGGTGGTGGCACTGGCAGAGGTGGTGGTAGTAATAATAAGAAGTAGTGTCAGCAACACGCATCACACTAGGAAGAGGATCACTTGCCAACAAAACGGTCCTTGAGACCCTGTAGCGGCAGCGAGCAGGTGGTATGGCTTGCAGCGACCCAGAGACGATAATAAGGCCTTTTCAGATGTAAGGCAGAGTCGCAGAATTCAAGCCGTCCCTCAAAATCTGAAGGAATATGCTTCCCTACATGACCACAAAGGGGGTCAACCAGCTAAGATTTCTGAGGGCTACTAGCCCTTGTAGCCTAGGTCTTCATGCAGCAGCAAGCGAGGAGAGCCCCGGACTCAGATGCCAGCCTTTAGTCACAAGGACGCTTTGCTGAAAGCACTTGCAGGCATGTTTTCGAATAATTCTGAGTAGCTAGCTGTAGGAGCATCAGGCAGGAGCAATTCCACAGAGCAGCAAGTCTACTGACATTACATGTTGTCACCATCCATTGCATCCCTGTTGTGACAGTAGAGGTTGCAGACTTTTGGTGATCCGGACAGTCGGTGCCCAAGGGGTCTCAGGTTGTCTTGGCAATGCTTGCAGGCAGGGGTGTCCCATCGGCCCTGCTATCAGATCCCTACACCATCCTCAAAGAGCTTGGTCACGGGATGACGGCTACAGCAGCCGCCCTGGTAGCCTGTGCGAAGGAATGAGTGGCTCACCCCGCAGATGACTTCAAACTGTCATGGGGAGCATTGCGCTGTGCGACAAGGTTTACAAATGCCGGAGAGGTGACGAGATCTTCGCCGTCAAGGCGATCGGCCTCTCAAGGCTTTTGGGCTGCCTACAGGCTTGTTGGGTCTTTTTTGCGATTCAACAGCTCTAAGATTTCGCTCAGCTGAAGGTTGCTGGGTGTTGTCGCGAACACTGCTTTCAAGAAAGTATATATTCGGTTGACCACTAGTTGGCAAGCAGAGCAGATCAGCTTTCTGTCTTGCTATTCTGAGTGGTTTGAAGCAGACCTTGTGCAATGATTATGACGTTCTGTGACTGTCATATGACCATACTTGAATACAAGACTTAGCCTCTGTCTGGTTCCAAGCACTCTGGCTTGTCTCTCCCCGACCTGCATGACGTCGCCTTGCTGTCGCATGAGTCGCGCTTAAGGCTAAAAATGCAGCGCGACAAAGAGAAGGCGCTGGAGCGCTTGAGGAGAGAGTCAAGAGCCCAGCAGCGAAGCTGACCATGCCGCGTGCGCTCCCCCTTCCTTCCCCCTCCCCTCCTCACTCCCCTCCTCACTCCCCTTCTCTCTCCCGCGCTCTCTCTCTCTCTCTCTCTCTCTCTCTCTGTGCTGCAGCAGCCGCCAGCAGTTGTTCTGTTCTCATGTTCATGTCTTGCTGGGGATTCGCTGACCTGCCATTCTCCGGGACCTGCAGCACTCGGCTCCGTCAACTGTCCGAGTGAAGCACCTCCACCAAGACATGTCGGCTAAAAGTCCGAAGCTGAGATCGTGCAGATGATCCAAAGTCGCAGCTGTGGTTTCTCCATACACACGCCCAAACGCCCCAGCTGAAATTCAAAATGTTGGCTGAAGGTCAGCTTTGCAAGATTCAGTCTATGGCTGGGCAGCCTCGGGGTCCTGCTGCTTCAGGTAGTGACCCCGCATCAGCGGCCCTCATGAGCACTGACAACTGGGGCTCGATCGAAGAGGCTGGGAACTGGGCTTCCTACATGTTCGTGCAACCGTGCTAGTAGTTGGTGCCCTTCACTGGCCTCAAGTCTACGGCGTCTCATCGCAGGTTGTCAACGCACCTCTTGGGCCTGTGGCTGGTGATGCCTCGTGGTTTTCGGTTCCTCAGTAGAAATCAGCCAGCTTGCATGCACCTCTCAGTGTGGCTTCTTTCTCCTAGGTGTTCTGCATGTGCCTGACGCTGCCTCTGAACCTCATCCAGGGCTGCATCGGAGGTCTTTGCAAGCCAGAGTCTCACCTCCTCAACTTGGGGCCAGCATTCCGAAGCGCATGCTGCCTAAGCAGAGAGAGCCTGGCAACTTTTCCGAGGTCCGCCATGGCTTTCATGGTGCTTGGATGCTACTGCTGCCAATGCATTCCGCCCCCTGTCAGAGAACACTGGGTCGATGAGTCGGGGAAATTTTGTTGATCGTTCGAGCCAAGTTTGTGCTAGGTAATAAAGGCATGATGCTAGGTAATAAAGGCATGATGCTGTTGCTTCCAGCTGTCGCTGAAACGTAAGAGTTGACTCCAAGGGGCTGGATTTGCTGTGCGGCAATGGCCTCCGTTAAGTGCGGCCGTGCTTGCCCCAGAGTGCAGACACGATGGGCTCCTCATTGGCTCTAGATCCAATCGTAACATGCAATGTTTGTTGCTTCGTGCAGGTCCCTGCATTCTGGCACCATCCTGGTGGAGATATGTATCTCTGATTTGCGCTTAATGAGCAGCGTGTGACATCTGATGTCTATCATGTGTTTTCATGCTCATGTGTGCTCTGTCAGTTCTCATGCTCGAAGAGTGCAAGGTACTGGGAGGATTCATTGCTCTCGTGGCAAACTCCAGGATATGGGTAGAGTCGTGTACGTGTCAAGGGCTTGCTTGCCTTTAATCTGGACCTGCTGCCATGTATTCGAGACAAGCCGAGCTCTCACTGCTTGCATTCTCCCCAGGAGTCGGCTGGCTTTGTTCATATGGGAGTGGGAGGCAGGCGGCTGTCCAATTAACACAACAAACACGAAAGCTAGCTCCTTGGAGCTTGCGAGAGTTCCTGTTTACCAGCATAATTCGTCTCCTGGGCGATGGACAACTTTTAGACTTGAAGGTTCCGAAAGTGAGCGCCGCGGGGGGGCCTTCCCCCCTCGGACCTGGAAGGAAGAACATCTTCGACTGTGGTGGGGTGGGGACTGCCTCCCCCCCAGCTGTGGATCCCCCCATCTTCCCATCCATGGTTCGGTTCTTCTTTGAATGACAGCCAGGCTTTCGGTCATGATCTTGCATGCTTTCATGGAAAAAATGGCCTGCCGATGTTCAAGAAGTCTCAGAGTAGCATTCTGGCAAGCATAGAGGACAGCATAGGTAAACCTTCATGCCAATTTCTTCTGGCAAGCACAGCAGACGCTACTAATTAGACCTGCACGCCGATTTAGCAGAACCTGGAAGGTTTGCACAGTTTTCATGTTGTTGACAGCTTGCTCAGAGCAGCTGCTTGAAGTTGTGGGGAGAGGGTGAGCGACTCCACAGCTGCTTTTTCCGGGCAAGCTGTCGACAACGCGAAAGCCTGCCAAGAATGTTCGAGGTCTTGCTCCGGTTCTAGAGATCAACGCGTAGGTCTAGTAGCAATGCTGTCCGCTGTGCTTGCCAGAAGAAACCAGCCTGTAGGTTTACCTATGCTGTCCCCTGTGCTTGCCAGAATGCTATTCTGAGACCTGAGACTGCCAAAACATCAGCAGGCCAATCTTTCGATGCCAACCTGCAAAATCATGACCGAAAGGCATGCACAGACATTCATCTGAACCTGGCTCATTCAAAGAACAACCATCGATGGGAGGATCCACAGGGGGGGGGGGGCTAGATGACAGCAGACAAGCCGCACAGATTTTGTTACGAATGCTGATCCGGTATTTCCCAAGTGGTGGGGCCTGCGCAGCGGCCGTGTAAGACACGAGAAAGGGGATTACGCAGCAATTATTCGTAACAACGGAGACTCAAATGGAAAAGCGAATGGGGCAGAGAGTGGAATAGCCTGGTGGTTTATGACGGCTAGGGCGCTTTACCTCTGATCAGCAGAGAATGAAGGCATGTAATTACTGGTTACACGTCATCATTGAACACGAGCCTAGCAAAGGTGCTTACCATGTTTCCAGCAAGGTGCAGTGCCTGCAATGCTGCAAGAAGCTTGTATAGTCACAGCTTTGTTAAACAGCCGTTTGAGAAGGGCATTCGCGCACGCAGGGGCATAGCACTGCACCTTGCAAGCAATGTTTTGAATGCTATCGCGAAGTGTTCCGAGCTCGGACTCCAAAATCGGTCCGCTGATCTCTATTGTTCTCTTCACAAAGGCCTTCTTGGAGCAGCTCAGATCAGATCCCTTTTTGCATCTTTTTCGCATGCTATGCGCAAAAAAAGAGTGTGCAACGTTACCTGCGTCGAAAGTAGCTCAAGCACATCATGAGGTAAAAAGGCAGCGATAAGAAGTTGCATGTGGTTGGCTGCAGTTGCCGTGAGTATGCTGCAACACCCTTGCAACTGCGCAAGCCAAAAGCCAGGAATGCGAGGCGCGAAACCCCAAACCGTGTAACATTGCACTTGAGGTCAAACAACGTCCAGCGCAACATCGTCGTGCATCAGCAACAGCCTCGCGACTTTATACAAGTCTGGGCTGCGTACGTACTGCTTCACACGCGTCCAGACAGGGCTGACTAAAATTTCAGGGGCTCCGAATCAAACAAATCTTTGTGAGCTGGCCACCAGGGAGGAGACTACACCGCCATGCCAAAATTCTGCACCCAAGGAATGATCCCAACTTTACCGGGCCAAAGAAGCCTCAAGGCAAGGCCCGGCCGAGGTTTAGGCGTAGCTCAACTTGGGGCACGGACATACCGGCGGACGCGCATCACTGTAAGTCGGCCACAACACAGACAATCCTGTAAAGATGACTGGACACAGCCTGATACACATTTTAGCTGCACAAGCTCTGGAAGCTCTGGTCTTCAGAGTAGGCAGGTGGCATTTCAAGTTTACTGTAGGGGTTTGAGGTCCCCAAAGGCAAAAGTCTCCAAGGCAAGAGATCGAGTCACAGGACCTGAGGAGCATGTCTTGCGCAGCAAGAGGGTCCAATTTGTGGCTTGCTGAAGCCTGGTCACGGCCGTGCAACCCTGAGCATCGCAGGTATTTGGACGTCGCAACCGTTTTGTAACGATTGAGATGGGACATCGTTTCCTGTGTTGAAGCTTATCGAACATGTTGAATATGTTTGTATGCGCGGTTGCCGCGTGAGCCGTTCTTCAGGTCAACTCGGGTGGCTTGCAATTGTTCCAGCATAAATGGTGACAATTGACAGGTTACCGTGTGTCACAAGCACCTGGTGGGCAAAGCTCCATCAACCTTTCTTGGGGTGGCGAGGCATGGGCCTTTGTTGTTCTTTCTCTTCTGGACTGGAGGAAGGTGCAATTACAGGTGGCCTGGGCCTGAACTTTTTCAATACTCTTGCAATCCAGCCTTCCAAGAGCCATTCTTCTTCCCTTAAGATTCTTTCGCGCAGCCCTAGCTGCCCAGACCCCCAAAATTCTGTCGGCCCTCTTGACTCCTAGAATTCATGGGGGCCTAGGGAGTTTACAGTTTGCCCTGGTCCTTTTCAAGCCTAAACCCACAATTTGAAACAAGAGCCCTTGGCTATGCATCAATGAAGAAGTGTGCATGCGGCAGCACGGTCTGAATGCTGCATCTAAGGAGTAGAAGTGATTAAGTCCTTACTTTAGCTTCTGACAGC